AAAATAAAACCAAAAAGCTAGTAAAATACCAAACACTGTTCTTGAAATAGCCTTCAGTTGATAAAAACGTCTCTGAAAGATGAACCTTTTAACTTTCCTTGAATTATAATCATGAAAGTAATCCTAGGAAGAAATGGATAAATAATATGTAACCCCATAAAGCCAAATATTTCTAAAGAGTAAATTGAATTTTTCTCCTCTGAGGAATTAATTTTATGAAATTAGACATTATTTTGTACATATAACAACTTAATTGGCTGATAAATGGATATTCCTCCCTTGGGATTTGATCTGTGTTATAATTCAGATAAGACTTCGTGACACAAATAGATAAGTTTTCATGTATAAAATATTTTTCGTTGTTGTAATTTATTTTTCTGGTTTCAGAGGAGCTGCTGGTTTTCAGGTTTTACGTCAATGCCAGTTATTTTCCCAGTAAAAGTTAACAAGGGTTACTGCCCGTAATGGGGGGGTGTGTGTGTGTGTGTGTGTGTGTGTTGCACTGCCATTTCCTAAGTTGGCTAAATTTCAGTAAACTCTGCGGAATAAAGATGATTTCTTTTACGGTTTTAAAAACTGCTTGTTGTAAAGTGTTATTCTGAGCTACTTATCCTACAGTTTTCAGTATTTTAAAATATCTCTGGTAATATGTTACATTACTTCCTCTATTATATTTTATTGTTTGGGGTGTGGCGGGAGAGTGGTATGGAGGCTTGGCAAAAGTGCAGCTTTTCTAGAATTTGAAAACTGTTTCCCTCATTCCCAAATTTTTAATTATAAAAGGCTACTTCTTAAGGAGGGCTGATGGCGAAGTGTGAAATCTTTCCTCTGGAATGTTACACATCATAAATAATTTGGTGCCCCCAAATCTATCTCTGTCAACATCAGAGTATTAGGATCATTAGCATCTGTGATCCTACAATCTGAAGTCTCAGCATGTTCCCAGCAGATAACAAAGTAATTATTAAATCTCCTCAAGTAAGACTCAAGTTGTGGGTGAAGTCACTACTTTGTAAGGAAAAAGAGCACGATCCCACATAAACTAAATGTAGGAAAAAATGTAATAGAGGGTCTCTGAATTGATGTGTCAGCCTTGATCGCTTTTCTCCATTCATCTGAACAAGTAGATGTTGAATTACCTTATTTGACTGCCTGAATCCAAGGTAGAAACTGATTAGTGTGCTGTAGTTGAGGGTTTTTTACTATCCTGAGCTCTTTTGAGTGAGACTTTTTTTTTTTTAAATCAACTGCTTCTATTTGCTTCTTTCTAATCCAAAGGCCTCTGGATGAAATCTTGACTGGTAGGTCTTCATTGTCCTGGTGCCTAACTTCAGTCCTGAGGAACAAGAAATCAAGATGTCTTGACTTACCTGCCTTTTAAGAATGATGTAGTACTGCAAAACTATCTTGGGATTCATCTACAAGGACCTTTTAAGTTTGATCAGAATGATCCTTTGTCCTACAGCTGGAACCCCAGTTTTGGAGGAAGGAGCAAAATGATGAAAGAGTTGTAAATAGAAAGGAAAGAATGAAAACAGGTTGGTTTGTAGCTGATTTTGAGTTGAGAATAGACACAAAGTCCTCTGATGCCGGTAAAAAAAGATGAATAAACTCTGTCCTAAGGATTTGACACCCATTCTGAACAGATCCTTGGACTGCTTTACTAGTTATTGCATGCAGTCCAATAAGCAGATCATTGGTTTTCCAAGCCTATTCTCTTAACTGTTTTTTAATTGATATAATCTGTAGTAGATTTTCATGTACCCTTTTTGTGGTTCTTGCATATGGTTTTCATTTACTGCTTTTTATGTGTAGCTATTCATCTGAGTATTTTGTTTGCCTCTTCAATGTGTTCAGATGAATTGGAGAAAGCATGTGCTTTCTTGGCTATGCTAGTTTGTACTCACTGTATTCTGTTCACAGAGATATTCATAGCTCTACCTTGAATTATTATTTTTTTTTATATTGAAATAGTAACGGAATAGGAATTGTTACTCTTCACAATTACTGGCCTTGTCTTTAGAAGTAGGTGTCACACTGCCTATCTTGCAGTTATAACTAATTCTAATAAATTACATATTTTGTGTTAGAAATTATGCTACTTGATATTTAACTCTCTGCAGGTGTTCCAGTTCATAATATGTCCTGGTTATTGGTAATCGATCGTAATTTAAATCAAGTGTTATTCACTCTGTCTTTGATGCTTTCATGTTTTGCAAGTAATGAATATGAGAAAATGTTAAAGTAGAGATTGCTGTTGCATTCCTTTTCCAATAAATCTGTTGACCAGTGTAACCAGGACCTATGCTTTAGGAGTTTTTAATGTTATCAAATATAATGCTTTCACTTTGTTTTGATTGGAGCTAATTGAACCTTTTCGATCAGACTGTTAGGTCTCAAATTAGACACCGGGACAGGAAGATCTTGGGAAACAACCACAGACAGGTAGTTACAGTCTCCAAAAAATTTGATTCAAGTGATTTAATTCATATAAAGGTAGACACAGGCAAGGGTTGTGTATAGTTTTTCAGACTATGATACTAACTATTAACCATAATCGTTTATTGCCTGTATTCCAGCTGCTACAGCAGATGAAGTAGGACAGTTGCAAAAACCTGCAGAGCATGAAACAGCTGGTACCCAGAGTGAGACATCCTTAATGCTGAGTCAGGAATAGAAAAAGTGTTTCCTTTGGAAAATGTTCTGTGTGGTCATGTAACCAATGGCTGTACCATACATACAACAGGGCACGAATAAGTTCCACAGACCATTTCATTATATTTTTTTCATGTAAGATTTTATATCTATATATCTATCATCTCCTTAATTATTTAGGATTGTTGTCCTGGTAATTTTTAAAGGGGAAAAAAAAATCTGGGGGGTGGGAGGAACTGCTAGCACTTGAATGCTTATTTGGTTAACACCAAGCCTGGGAATTTTTAGAGCTGCTGTGTGAACTTCTGCCCTTAAGTTAATGAGAAACTTGTGCAAGTAGGTTATCTGTTTCTGTAAGGATCAGTGCTTGAGGGGACAAGATGTATACTTTGCTTTCAGAGAAATTGGTGGTGAAAGGGTAACAGTGAGGGACTTGAGTTTCATTTCAGGCTATGAATAGGAGTGTGTGGTAGTGGACACTTGCACTTCTGCCTGTTTCGTGCTCCACCCTCAGCTTGACTCTTCTTCCTTCACTATTCCTTTTAGCTTGTCTTCCTCCTGCCCTAAATCCTTTTTGGTTTTCATTCTGTTTTCCTTCCATTCTGCCTATAAAAAGCAAGTCTGTATAGTCCTTTAGAAAGGGCTGTGCAACATTCCCGTTTCATAGAGCTTGTTGCATAAGCAACGTTTGCTATGACACTGTTCAAGAGCATGGACAGAACATAGGTTATGCGATGACACACAGTGTTTGCGTTTTTTCTTCCTTGATCTGATTTGTGCCCAAAGTTGTTTCACCAGCTTGATCAGTTCTTAGACCAGAGAGTGTTTGAAATTTGTAAAAAGTTGCAGCTGAATATTCAGTGGTTTTGCAACAGCTGCATGGATAGACTGTCTTGCTGAAGTTACTCTAATTACATAGGCAGACAAAAAGTGTTTCAGCAGTATCATGTAGCAGAATTACAAGGAAGGTAACCGCACTTATGTAAATAGCTGTGCAAATACAATAATACCCTTACACTATTCTTGTTATGTGTGATGTAGTCAGCTTGCATTTTAAGTATTCCTTATGTGTTCAGCTTTATATAAATAGCAGGTATTTTAAAGAGATGGTGTCTGTGGCACATGAAGTTAAAGCATGCTACCTTTGGAGGCAGAAAGTGGTATTTAATTAGGGTGGAGCAAAGTACTGCATAGTTTCGAGAAGAGACTGCAGAAAGTACTAGTTTCCCAGGAAGCATCAGAAAGCCTTGATTTGTA